ATAATATTAGTATAGATTAGTATTGATGGTTAGTATTATTATATGTTTACCAGGTAACGTCGGACATTTCGAGATGGTAATTATGTATTTGTAATTATTTATTTAGTGGCATTTGACACGATATGTTAGATTACAATTACAATAATCTAACTTACTAACATTACAAATACGAAAGTTTGTAAGTATGTTAGGTAGGTAAGATGTTTGTTACTCTTGTACGTAAAAACTACTGAACGGATCTGGATGAAATTTGGCAAAAAATAATTTGGAGGTAGATTAGATTAATGACTTTATCGAGTTAATTTTATTCGTTTAATAGCGAACTGTTTGTGCGAAAATACAGATACTAAATATCTTCACTATTAAATGGATTTTATTATACACTAGCTACTCTCGCGCGGTTTCACACGCTGATCGGCACAATGTAAGCGTAGCGTAATGTTTTATAGCCTATAGCACACAGGAACATTGTAGCTACCTATCAGTAAAAGAATTTTGGCAATCCGACCAGCGGTTCCAAAGATTACCCCCAACATACAAGCTTCAATCGTAATAATGTTTGTATATAACATTATTAGGTACAACAACTTACATAAGTTGTTCTTTCCCGTTTAAGAACTGGTTTCAATCAATGGTTGCAAATATTCGCAGAAATGGTCCCCTCACTCCATGGACAGCTCTGCGTAAAATCCCCGAAGAATATGGCAGAACAGAATAATATTTGTTTTTTTTCACAAACTTGTCATATCCTCCCTAAGTTGTAAGCCAGGATCTACAGTAGATACAACCATGAAAACACCGAAACACTGAAGTCCGGCGCGTCCCAGGGACAATGACTAATCTCTGTCTGTCGAATGACTGTCTTGGGTCCCGTAACGAAACTTTTTATTTATTTGTTTTGTTGATGCACAATGGTAGACTTATTGCTGAAGGTATTTTCTGCTAGTTTACCTTAGGATGATGCAAAGATAAGTTGTGGTAGGTGCAACAGCTAAAAGAACATTATAGTTTATGACTAATACAAATTCTGACTGCACGGTTGGCGCGGTGGTTGGGCAACGTGTCGCGGTTTCGATTCCCGCACGGAACAACTCTTTGTGTGATCCACAGATTGTTGTTCCGGGTCTGGGTGTGATGTGTATGTGAAATTGTATGTTTGTAAACGCACCTACGACACAGGAAAAAATCCTAGTGTGGGGCAACGTTAAAAAAAAAAAACAAAAAATACATACCCAATATTAAATAAATACTTGGTCATTATTATGTTCGTAGATGTATAATGATTTAAATTACATTTATCATAAGATGAAGAGAAAATTTATTATAAAATACATACTGTTTATATTCTGAAATAAGTCAGGAGATTTTAGATATGAGGACAAGGAAACAGGATGATGTTTTATCCAATTGGTTTGTGCATCTTGGCGACCAAATTTCCTTAACAAAAAAATTGATCTTGATATCCATTCTTAAAAGTGCATCCTGTATTTATGACAATGTAAGGACCCTCGTTTTCCTTAGTATAGGTTATCCTTGTCGTGCCATTTTGTATTTCGAATGATTGAAAACCCAAGAAGTAACTGTTTTTTTTTTGTGAGGGGAAAATCATCAAATGACTTCTCCCGCCCAGGGCCGGGCAGGAGGGAGTGTCAGACTCTTACTGACTAAAAACCCTCCTGTTCCTTCTCCTGCTCTGTGCCGAGGTCGCGGTGCCTCATTGCGCTTACCCCGCAACCCCGGAAGGAGTAACTGTAAGTCCTTATTCTACATGATAGTAATCTATCATATAGGTCGTTTCAATAATGAATCTAGCGGGTTTTTTAGCTACAAATATTTTTTTTTATCTATTTCATTTTATCTATACTAATAATATTACAAACGTGACAACGTGATAGGATTTTGGATTGAGTTTTTAACGAAATTTTTATAAAAAATATTTTAAAACAATAAATTTTTCTGATATCTTATTGATATAGGTAGTTAATTTAAATAAAAAAATACAGTAAATAACACGGACACTGGTCGTAAACCGATTGCGCTTAAGAAATCTGGAGGTAGCCCTTTCACTTAATTTCTTTTGTAATTTTTTATCCAAATCGTTAAAGCCGTTTCCAAGATACGCTCCGTAAAATGTATAAATAAACCTGTCTACAAGAAATCCGACATTTTCCTCCCACTTCTGACGACAGTACAGCTTGGTTACTGCGTCAGAAGTAACATGCTTGTACTAAAAACCCGATATTAATATCCCGTTTACGACAACCTGCGTAGATAGGCTTAAAATTTCTCGACTGGCTAGATATAGGCGCAACAAGTTTACTTGCGACATTAGGATAAAAACAGCAGTTTTTAATTAAAAATATGCATATCTTTAACGTCCCCCTATATATAGGTATATACGTGTCATTAAAAAAAACGTCTCAACCAACATTTACTAACAGAGCAGGAGAACAAAAGGGGGTTTAGTCAGTAAGTCTTTTGATGATCTTCCGCACACAAAAAATATATTAAAAATCTTATATATAAAAATGGATCGCAAAATGTGTTGGTAAGCGCATAACTCAACAACGCCTGGACCAATTTTGCTAATTCTTTTTTTGTTGTGTTTGTTATTGTCAGAAGAAGGTTTTTATCAAAGAAAATATTAGAAAAGGAAAAGGTGACCCTTTGACTCAGAATACAGAACAAATCTGTATTCTGAGCCCTTTGATAGCGAGATAGTTGGACCCGTGCGAAACGGGGGCGGGCCGCTAGTACATGATAAATATCGTAGTGAAGATATAGATTGTTTAAAACTATACATTTACCTATACTTATATATGTTTATCAATAAACATAATTTCCCAAGCTCCCTAGATACAAGATATCAATAAACACTGTCCGTTTATTCAACTGTGCGTAATTCCCCTGCGCGTGCGCATTGTCGCAGCGAGGTAAACTCCCGAGTACAGCAGTGTTGCCCACATGAATAAATAATTAGTATTTATAGTCGGGCAAGTACGAACTGGCCGCATTTTCCTGTACGATGTTGTATTTACTTCAAGTGTTGTGACGATGACTGATAAGATATTTTTTAGTATTATTATAATAAAGGGATGAATTGTACTTAATTATTTTTATCAGCTGTAATACCCAAACACCTAGGTTATTAATCCTGATAATATTATAAACTCATTCGTTTATTATTTTTGTTTATTTTAGTTCGATTTTAAGCGCTTACTACGAAACTAATTGTAATACATTTTGGTAAAGGAACGATATCGGTACAGGTATCGTCTGATGGTTGTGGCCTGGAGCGACCAGCGTTCCCCGACAAGAACGTTAACATCAGAGGACTCTCAAGTAAGATACCTAGGACTTTAATTTAACAGAAATGTAATCGTAGTCATCGGAAGTTCTTCTTAAATATAAAAATATCTAGATTTTATTTATTTATTTAAATGTGTAATAGTTATGTGTCTGTAGCTTACTTATTTACATTAATAAATACATCGTCCATTGTTTGTTTCTTTTTTTCGAGACATTTGAGGCTTTGATACAGAAATAACGAAGTCGAAATTATTAACAAAACTTATTAACAAAACATATCATAACTTTTGTATTAAAATACGTAAAATTTAGGGGAACTTTTACATTCTCAAGAATTCATTTGTTTATTTCTGTTACCATGTGACGTCGGTAACAAGGAAAATTGTGTTCTTGGTACCGCAGATATGCAAAATATTTGCATAGCTGCATATTTGTAGGCGTCTAAAGATGATTATGTTGTGTAGAAATAGTGTCATAGGTTTGTCCAGTTAATTTTCCAGGTTGGTAGTCTACACTAGTGAGATGAAGTGAAAACGAAAATATTGAAAGTGTGTTTTTTATTCCGGTTTTCTGATCAATATTCTTATCATATTTATGCTAAACTTCTTCATCAAAAACTCAGGTTTTATGTGTCAGATACAGTTTTAATTAATGCTAAAAAGCGAATTAAAAACTTGGATACATACTTTCGGATAAACAGAGCTCAGTGGAACTTACTTACGACGCGTCTTTCGTAAATTACAAATCGAATTTATTACACTAATATTTTTTTTAACCTTCTTACATAAATTAGGTACCTAATAAACATTTTAAGCTCACATTCGAACATATAGGTTCAAGCATAAACACTAATTTTGTGACTAAACTTAAGTCTACAAAACATTTTACCAAAACACAGTTCAATGATGAGTCATCCTGCTTGTAAAGCCTGAAATTGTAACGAAGGGGTGGGGTGCCTCCCATGTTCCTACCCCCCTCCATTCACGTCCTTGGAAGTTTAGGAATTAGAGCAGGACAGCAAGCGTAGAGAGGGATGGAACATGGTGAGTCACCAGGACTTGCCGGGATAACGTTACGATGACTCATAGTTACCGGGAACAATTTCCTTTCGGGTGAGGTGAAAATAAGTAAGTTCTTAAGTATTGAGAATTGATTAGGGCTGGAATGATTACATGTATGTAGGAATTACAAGATTTGTGTTTACTTTTTTTTAAATGGCTACCATTTATCTTGAACTTTTGGACTTGGTGTCTAAATTAACGTAGATCAAAAATTGTATTTAGAAACTGTCGAAGTGTAAAAAGTTAATACGAAGATACAATACCTTAAATTTAAGTCTTCTATCTAATTTTTGTCAAAAACGATACTCTTTTATATAAATCAATTTATGAAAACATATGTAGTTTATGACGTCATAATACTTTAAAGTTTTAATACTAAACAATTTTTTTAAATTATAACTAGAAAATAAAATAACCTACATCGATAAATCAATTGATGATCGTATAAATATTGTATTGTATTAGAAAGACGAAAAAGACAAAAACAATTTTCTAAAGGAACTACCGAATTGACGGTAAACAACAAACTTTCCTGAAAACCTCGAACCCTGAAAAAATGCCTGAAAATTCACAGCAGATACGAGTATTCCGAATATTCATTGATTTAAAAAGGTCTTTTGAATGTCCTACCTAGCTGTGGCCTGTCCTCCAGGCCAGTAGAAGGCCCAGAATGGATCTTTGAACGGGATTTGGTCTTCAGTGGCCTTCCACAATGGACATTCTGGTGTGATCAGACGAAGAGCCAGTTCTGGAGTCAGGTGGCGACGTGATGTCACCGTGTGTTTCATTATTAAGGACGCAGCTTCTTTTAACATTGTACCTGGAAGAGAAGAAAGATATTAATTATTATGTTTTCGGCTTACTCACGTAATAATTTGACGAGATACTCGACTAGTTTCAAGCCATGCTAGAGGCCCATACTGGCCCAGACTGTCACGCTGCTACTACATAATAATTAATTTAGAATGTCTCACGAAAGTTATAATAAAAAAAGAAAAATATTATTGAATGTGATTCGTACTTGGTACTTGGTAGCTAGGTTACTAAAGGTATATAATACAGTATTTTGGTATTTTAAGAGCTTTTGACATTAAGTACGGTTGGCGCTGTGGCTAGGCAACTACTCGTAGGCTATCGCGCAACATGCCGCGGGCTTGATTCCCGCACGGAACAACACTTTGTGTGATCCACAAATTGTTGTTCCGGGTCTTCCTGTGATGTGTATGTGAAAGTGTAAATATGTTTGTAACCGCACCCACGATACAGGAGGAAAAACTACAATATGGGGCAAAGTTTTATTGAAACAATGAAAACAATAAATTTATTTTTGTAATTAGCACTTTTACACGTCAAAATTATATTAAAAAAAACTAGATGAAGCCGGCATTTCGTATCTGATTAAGTACTCAGAGAAGAAATGCCGACACAAACTTGGACGTCCGCCTCTTTTTTCAAGTCCAGACAATGTGAATGTAATTTAAACTTAGTAGCCATATCAAATTGCAGTATTTTCTTTTTTTAATAGCAATAACATAGTTTTTGAAGTTCCATAAACACTTTTAAGTAGGTCATAGAAACATTTGCGTTTTTTTTTTATAGGACCCAAAGGCGCAGACGGATTACCAAAGGTAAGCGATCGATCAGCGCCGATCCTGAAAGTACGCAGTCAACCGACGATGCGACGTCGACATTTATAAGAGTCCTGCTGTGACTCGAAACTTGTAGAGCATTTTTAACCGACTTCCAAAAAGGAGGAGTGTTGTGTGGAGGAAGTAAATACTACATAGGTACCAAACAACAACAGTACCTATTAGAAAAATATATTGATAGGTACCTACTAATCAACAAACTAGCAAGAGGTATGTAGGTAATATCATTACACTACTATACTTTTACTTGGCACCGACTTTAAGATTATAAAATAGTTATGAAATGTTATTTTCTATTTAACTAAATGTAAATATGTATTACTTTGAACAAAGTAAATTTATTTTTTGCTTTTTAGTTTAGGTGCTTTTTGAAGTCGGTTCTTTTTTGTAATTTAGTTAATACACGCGAGTGAGTCGTTTTAGCTTTTAAAATATATAAAACGTAAAGTCCGCAACCTTATTGAATTTATTGAAAAAAAAACATCATATTTTTCGGAAACAACGACTTTATTCATTAAATAAAAAAATAACGACGCTTTTAACCAATGAATACGGACCCGTTAAAGTAATATATATCATCAAGATCAAGTACTGTAAAAAATGATTGACATAAGAAACAACATTTTCCTAATTAGTTAGTAAGGTAATAGGTACTGTCGGTGTCACAGAACAATAATTCTATTAACCTTAGCATTCATTGAATAAGGAAATATTATAATACATATACAATGCATTATTAATTAGTCTTATTGACATTTGTACATATTATGCGCCTTGTTATTGTAAATACGCTTGTGACGCGGCGTGACGTCACGCGTCGTTTACAGTTTAGATTGCTACATTGTTACCAAGAGCCTTTTTGTGAAACTAGCTTCCGCCCGCGGCTTCGCCCGCATGGTAAAAAAGTAGCCTATGTCCTATTCTGAAGCGTATCCTATGCCTGTGCCAAATGTCATCCAGATCCGTCAAGCCGTTTTGGTGTGAGTGAGTTACAAACATCGTAACATTATATTATATATGAGAGTTATAAAAGAATATATGTATATAAAAGAGTTGTCGTGTAAAAGGGGAGGCCTATGTCCAGCAGTGAACGACATCAAGCTGATGATGATGATGATGATGACGTAAAAGAGTAACCTGACCCTTACACATTCTCGCGATTATTACATCTGTAGTAGGATTAAATATTATATTACTGAAATACCTACACCGTTGTTAATTAAAAATAATGAGTGTTTTGGGGGTCATTAACCTTTAAGGCCATTCACATTTCAAAACTGCTAACATAAGTAGGTAATTCGCTCTCCTATTGAGTAGATTACAAATTAATCCCGTCTTAAGGTGGGTAAGAGACAGCTAGACAACTTGTATAGCTCTTTCTCTTACCCACACTGAAGTAAGATTAAAACAGCCTTACTTTGAATATCATGGTTAGCCCCCATGGTATTTTTAAGGATGGAAAATCCATCATTTCTTCTTGCGCCCTGTATGTTTTAGGGGGAGTGTCAGACTCTTACTGACTAAAAACCACGACGTTTCTTCTCCTGCCCTGAGCCGCATGTATCTGTAACCTCGACTGCATATTTGCTTTGTTTTTTATGAGAAAAAAATCATCAAGTAACCAAGTACTTAACCAATATTTTCTCTCCCCCAATTCTTAAAACTTTGATCCCCAAAAGGACAGCATCCCACTAGTATCTCTTCCGTCGTTGCGGGTGTCCATGGACGGCGCTGATTGCTACTATCAGGTAATCCGCCTACTCGTTTGCCAACAACTTCTCTAGCCCAGGGTGAGACGAGAGGGAGTGTCAGACTCTTACGTCTGTGACTCCGTTCCTTCTCTTAATCCAGGGTGGCGCTGCAGTATATTATTGTGCTTGCTTTTTTATGTAATAGGTCGGCAAACGAGAAGATGTATTACCTGATGGAAAGCAATCACGCCGACCATGGACGCAGCGGAGGACTTACGAGTGCTTTGCTGACCTTTTAGGGATAAGGGAAGGATTGGGCCTCCGGTAACCTCACTTACTCGGCGAAACACAACGCTGTGGTTGTTTCACGCCGGTATTCTGTGAGGCCGAGGTATCACTCTGGTCGAGCCAACCCATTCGTGCTGAAGCATGGCTCTCCCACACTTAATACCAGTTGGATATTAGCTAGGGTTAGAGACAAACTTAGTTTGCTTAGCTTGTCATGTCATATCGCGTGCTGTGAAATATATGAAACCGGTCCGTTCTCACACTAGACAAAACGAACGACCCGATACAGTAATGTACCTATTACTAAGATAAGTTAATACGTTGTAGGTCATCATCAACACTTTCAGAAAACGTAGAATCTTTTTTTTTATGTGAAGTCGACAAACGAGCAGGCGGATTACCTGATGGTAAGCAATTAACGCCGCCCATGGACACCCGCAACAACAGAGCGGTTACGAGTGCGTTGCCGACCTTTTGGTGATTGGGGATTTGGAGATTTAGGGATTGGGGGAGGGGAAAGATTGGACCTCCGAACTCACTCACACGGCGAAACACAACACTGAATTGTTACGCTGAATCTATACTTTCTTACCATTCCCAAAAATACATTTTATAGTTTATGGATTTTTTCTTGCACAATATTTCACCAATTAAATTTTTAAAGTAAACATAAGGAATTTGTGTTTGTAGGTCACATTCTCCGTCTGTCTTTCTTATATATGTATGTATCTTTATAACAGGTACATATGTATATGCCTGCTTATACGCAAAGGCGAGCGTCGTATATCGAAACTTGGTCAAGGTCGACCATTGTAAGATTAGATAGTATTCATTCCAATGCACATTTCTCATTTCTTATTAAACTTTATTTATTGTTATGTAATTTTTCTGGACTTAGTATAATTTAAATTAGCCTATAGCCTATTCAATAGTCTTTCCCGGGCCTTTGGAAGGCGTGCGAGGGGCTGAAGGCTGAAGCCAACTCACAGAGGCCCATTGAACAATTTTAATGACATTATTATTTCGGTAGATATTAATAAAATTTGTTAACGAGCGACGAACAACGCGACACACTTTTTCGTCTAGTGAAAAACCAAAATTCGTTGGCTGCAAAGAATGCATTCTGCCAAAGGATTTCTATATAAAAATGTATGTAAGTACATATATCAGAGACAAGTAGCTTAATTCACTAAATTAACGGCCTGAATGACTAGCTGCTTGACTGAATACGAGAAAGTATTAATAAAAAAAATAACTACATACGAAACAACTGAGAAAATGCAACTGTAAGTACCAGGTAAACATGAATTGAAGGAGGTTAGTATCAACTACGCGCGCCTAGTACGTCACAGTTAATTGAGCCTCGTTTGCTATGGTTAGGAGCATTTTGCACGTGATGCGAAATGCTCCTTGCGAACTACATAATGTCACGACATCACACACTTGGACAAATAGATCACGGTGATATATTGTTTTTCCTTTGTGGGTGTGTCAATTGCTTTCGTCTGGATAAACAATATAACCTCGTTAGTCATTTAGCACGAACCTCTTCAGTAACGAGAATAATATTGTTGCAATGGTGTTACTAGAACTTCATGTTATCTTTCAGGGGTTTCCCGTTAAGTTCATGCTCCAGTACGATAATAATTCCTACGGGGTAGTGTCAAAAAGCCGTATTTTGCTTTGGACAATGCCGGGAATCAAAACATCGTAGCCTATTTTTTTTTATCTTTGTTCTCAATTTGAAATTGGAATTAAACATAATAATGACACTAAATTTAAAAATTCTCAATTTGTAATTAGAATTACAAGAACTGTAACTAAATTCAAAAATTAAACCGCACTAAACCGATTCGCAGAATTGTTCGAAGCGATATAGAAAATTTTACGGTATTTCTGACGATTAATATTATATTAAGACTTATCGTGGCATTGCGCACTCTCGTATTCATTTTCCTTAATTAGAATTTTCGAAACCACATCCAATTTGGTCCAATTAATTCCTTTACGTACCTACGTCATCTGATCAAAGCAACATTCAATGACGTAGAGAGTTTAATTTTAAATCGAGATAAGATAACATTACATCAAAATGTACTGAACAAAATAATAATATTAACATTTCATGTTGATCAATATCATTATTCATCATCAACATCAGCGCTTCTTTAAAGAGGTGTGGCTGTAAGATGATCTGAATCCACCAATGAGAACGCTCCATTGAGTCTATGCGTTATAGTTCAGATCTCCTATTGGTGAAGTTATAGATTTTACGGACTGAAAATAGTTCCCATTGGATGGTTGAGACGAGCCTCTATCTAAAGACGTGATCTTCTAAGAAGGCAAATATTAGCTGCAAAGTCTAACTGATTGATGTGCAGGATGATTCGATGGTCACGGCAGAATACCGCAGTCTATTGCGCAGTTTTTAAATTTCTTGGAATGTTTTGAAACTCGGAAGACCTAATTTCAATAAAGGAGAAAGTTTTCCCAAAATTATTTTCTGTAGGGAAATATGAATGGAATATTTTATTCTAAGTAACCAATTGATAGTGGAATTGAGACTTGTTAATGAAGTGGCGTGGATCGTGTTTCAAACAGTTACTTTGTATTGCGTCACACCGCACCGTTGTAGCACGCTATTAGCGGCGGCGCGCCGCGCGACGCCTTGCGCCTGCGCAGCCGCGGCCTTGCCCAAGTTCAATCACACGGCCACCGCTCGACACATTTTCTAGAGGCCAGCTGGCACATGCTCCTAATGTTTCGTAATGTTTTATTCGGCAATATGGGGCTAGTTCGTGAGCGTTAAAGTTTCATTGTATAGGTCTATGGGAGTATAACAACCGGTTTCTGAAAGGCTTGTCAACGCTAAAATTAACTAATTTCCTGTTAAATCTCTTGTCAAGTCATCTGATTGGTTGTTGATAATTCAGTCAACCAATCAGATGACTTGACAAGAGATTAAATTGATTTTAACATTGATCGGCCTTTCGGAATTCGGGGTTAAGACTGGTCTTATACTAAAATACTATCACTATAAAAGTGTACTAGTGTGTGTCCTCCTTGAAAAGTTAGTCTAGCTTTCTAATATTTTTAAGGTGAAGTAAATTGGTAATATTTGATTTTTGTAAAAGAGCAGGAATCAAGCACATAAATTACACGACAATACTAAATCGACGCGGCCTATGGACATTCTCAACTTCAGAGGAGTTCTTATTCATAGAGTTAGGCTTTAAATATATTTATTGACTGCAGCTTCTGTCAGCAGCTTCACGCGCAGTACCAGGGTAAAACATCAAAAAAAACCTGTGTGTTGTTCCAGACTATCATTTATATTTGTTGTATAGTATATAAACTTGAAAGAGTCATAATTCAGACAAACATACATCTTTCCATACTTACAAACTTCCACGTGGTCTAAGTTGGATTGGTCTTGGTTGAGATGAGCGCCAGCCATCAGCTAACTAAAGTTAAGCTAAGTCTTATTCAAAAAGACACGTTAGTGTAAATATAAGTCATCCTACTGTGTTGCTATGTGAAAACGCCTTAGATTCGCTCCTAATCCATTAGCAATTATCATGTTGCACAATCAGTATTTGACTTAGATCACGTTTTATTGTAACCTGTGTAGGTAAAATCGTCAATGCGCTGAACTGTATCGCCATTTGCATTAGCCACGTTTGTTTATTTGCACAAACAAAACGCGATAACAGTGTACGTGTCGAGATCTGCGAATGTGATAACATAGTCTACACGAGGACGAGTACGTTCGAATTTCAAACATGAAACGCAATGACGCGCCAACGTTGTACCGACGCGCGTAAAACGTGTTGTAACATGCTGGCTGGAAATGTGAAACCGGTTCCAAGCAAAGGTGCGCGAATGACAGCTGTTAATTAAAAAAAAATGTTACGTCGCGCGCCGCTACAACGTCACTGCGGCTATTATAGAGTCCAATCATATTTGGGTAATAGACTAATGCGTCATCCACACATACAAGCATACATTGGTAAATCGCAAATGCTAAATTTATTCAATGTTTTTATACCTCAACTTAAACAGGTGAGATATTTTTAGATATTTATTTGCCAAAAAACCGAGCCGTCTAAAAACAGCGTTTATAAAAATAAAATCTTAAGAAAACCCGTCCATTTTGTAAACAAATCATTAATTTGTTTTTAATGGAAAAGTCTAAAAATGAAACACGAAATGGTGTTATTGTTATTAAATCATTTGCATTTGTAAAACCCAATTAAGGAATTTGGTCAAACCAAAAAAAAATTACTAAAGAAATGACTGTCGTCCGTAGGAAAAATACTCCTTTCGAAATTCTCCTTGCACCATCTAAATATTCCGTTCGATGAATTCCAAGCTTACTGGTTAGTTGTCTTGGAATTGTTTACACTATGGTTTTTACCGATAACTGCCATTAACATATTAATGAATTAGTAACTCCATCGTACTTCCATTCATTATAGTTTACAAGTTCTAAGAACAAGACACTGGTTCGTTTCGTTCATAATGGCTTCTAAGACAATGCAATACTTTGTTGAGACTATTAAAGAATTATTTATTATGCTACTCATGACACCAAAGTCTACTTATTAGCATTTTCATTAAATTCTAAGTGTGTATCATTTCGGAAAAACTCAAGTCAATATTTTACGAACAGGAAAATAGCTAGCAACTAGTTAGACTACTTGTTGAACACTTTTTGTTATTTTGATGAAAATATATTATATGTACCTATAAGATTTTTTTTTGTTTTGGTTTTATTATAAAACGTAGCCTTATGGTGAATGCCCCCTTCCTCGTGCTGGCTCGAAATCTATGAAGTACCAATGTTACTGTCAAACGGTGAAGAAAAACATTGTGAGGAAACCAGGACTTATTTTCTAATTAAAAGTGTGAAATCGCTAATCAGCTTTTGCTACAGCAAGCGTAGTCATTAATGCATTCTCAGTATAAGAAGAATGATAAAACTCAAACTGATAAACTAATGATAAAACTCTCTGTTGGCAAAATCGTTGTGCACAACAACACATCGTTGTGTTTTGCCATGTGAGTGAAGTTACCGGAGGTCCAATCCGTCACCCCCATTTCTATCTCTCCAAACCTCCGAAATCCTAATCCCCAATGAGCCGATTACTTACCATCAGGTCCGTCTTCTTGTTTGCCATCAAAACATCATGAACAAGCCAACAAAGATTGTTATCTAATTATCGTTACAGTATGATTAGCAACACTACAGATTAGGAAGCTAGCTTAGTACTAATAATGCATTGAATACCTTTTCCTTGTTACTGTTTTCAGTAAAAGTACAATTATTATTTTCTTAAAATTGAAATTTTATGAACTCTCTCTATAAAATATTATCTTCGTACTGCGCATCTTTCTAAACATCGACAAAAAAAATATCAACAGAAATCATATAACATTATAAGAGTGTCATCATCAGTCATCACAAACGAATTGTTTACCAAGTAATAAAGTGTTATCAAGCATCTGTTTGCTACAATTGTTTTGACAGCAATTTGTTTAGTTGAGGTCACTATTGACGCGGATGTCCCAAAAGTTGCAGTGTCGCATTACTACCATTCAGCTGCGTAGTTGTTGTGTAGACTGATCAATAACAAGCATTGTTAGTTTTTATACGCACGATAACAAGAAACCTGTTTTCATAATATTCGAAGATAGCATACAACTGCGTTGTTTTGGAGAAAATAGGCCACTTTCTTATGGAAACAAAGAAATGTTTAAACTACCTACCTACCTCATCTTAAGAAGTATGAACATAGTATGTATAATGAGGTTGTTTTTTTGTGTTACTTGCAACAACAGGGGAATTGCAAGTGTGTTGTCGGTCATTTGGGTAAAAGCAGTTTCGGAGATTTGGGGATGAGGGAGCATTAAGGAAGTGGAAGATTGGGACACGTTGAGTGGTTGCAACGAATGGTTTGGTTACCCGCCCCTCGAACATATGGGTAAATGAGTACCAGACAGTTCTCTTCGCCTTTCCCCGAGGACACGGGGTCTCCATGAGGATATCCAGCCTAATACGGAAAAAAAATGGTGAAGTAATGGCCTCCAGTAACCAGACTTCCACAGGGTAACCGGCACGTTGTGGTGGTGGTTTCACACAGGTTTTCTGTCACTCAGGTCGAGAAAACTTGTTTGCCAAAAGACGGCTATTTCATACTTACTTGTTTCATTTGTGGATACCATGAATGCAATATACCGATGTTTATGTACACCGAATAACAAATTGTATATTTAACATACCTGTAAAGTAAATACATTTTTTTTGTGAGGGGAAAATCATCAAATGACTTCTCCCGCCCATAGTGTCAGACTCTTACTGACTAAAAACCCCCCTGTTCCTTCTCCTGCTCTGGGCCGAGGTCGCGGTGCCTCATTGCGCTTACCCCGCCACCCCGGCTGAACATCAGCCCTATAGGGCCCCGTCTGTGGAGGTCTATTGGCTCTTTGAGGCGCGCGCGGAACGCTACGCGCCGTACGCTCGGGAAGTAAATACATTAACACTACTACTGAAGGTTCGCTTGCAATTAGACAAATATACACATAACTATAACAATTCAATTTGCATTAATCGGTACAACAAAAGTTTTCTAGTTAAGGTCTTCTCAAATGTTGAAAAGACCAAAATATATCGGTTATATTCCAATTTCTTTTTGAATCATTGCAAATAAATTTTTGAACGAAGGAAAGTAAGAATCTCCAGAAACTTCCATTCCGATCTGTGCAAAACAATAACAAACAAATAAGACACTGAAGTGGGTGGATTGTGACACTTGATCTGAACAGTAGGCGAGGCAGCCAGGCGCTAGCTCGGGACATCGTCGGATGGCACGAAGCACGGCATGGCACGGCCAGATAACACTATTCACAGCGTTCACTATAATTCCGATAACAGCCAGAAAATCTGGGAACTGCACACTTCGTTCCCACACCGCTAATTGATTGTTTTGGTTTCATATTTCTGGAAAACGCACATAGAGTGCTGATACTATATCAGTGTTTTGTTTTTACGTTTTAGCGAACGTAGGTGTATCTGTAATGGGTGTCCGTTCCTTCGATTTCAATTGAATTGTTTTGATTTTTTGCTTGTTGTTAGCTATTTTGATTAGGTGGAATTGTTTTTCGCCACTTTTCAATAGGTATTTCTATCGTTAATTTATTGAAAATAAATACTTACGCAACTTAACTGGGAACAGCTCTATTAGTCCTGATTCACAACGGGACTTCTATTCATGAGTGGTGTTTATCCTTTTTCGTTTTTTCTTAGTCTATTCTAATATTATAAAGAGGTCAAATTTGTGATTTGTAAGTTTTGTATATATTTTTATATATCAGAACATTTTTGTATATATCAGAACAGCTGGTCGGATTTCCAAAATTCTTTTACTTATTCACTCTTTCTTTACATTCTTTAACTACAATTTTCCTGGGTGTTATACATATAGGCTATAAAACGCATTACGTTACTATTAAAGGGAACCTGAACCTGTGCAAGAGTGGCTAGTTGATTCAATAAAGCTAAAGATGGCCTTAAAACTATCCATCCAAGTGTATCGTTTGTATCATTGTCATCAAATCCTTGATTGATTCATAGAATACGCACAGGCAGTACTAGCCACGTTCTACACACGTAAACAAAATTTGTTTACAAGCACATTTGAAATCATTGGAATTCAAGACGTGTCTATTACAAAACCGCAGCGGTAGCCTTCCGCAACCGATGCAAGGACTAATCGTGGGTACTGTCACGTGGGACATTATGTAGAGAACACTTAGACGATTGAAATTCTAAGAGAAAGACTACGTGCCATTTTGGAATTAATTCGGATACAGAAATTTTGTTTAGATATGGATAGAGAGGAAGAGGGAGACGAAAGAAGATTGTGTGTAAAATTATATGGAAGACAGAGGAGTCAGTGATAGCGTGACGGGTGACAGGACAGAATTGAAGAAAAAACATAGGTATTGCGCCGACCCCAAATAAAACGGGACAAGGGCAGGAAGATGATGATATGGTTTTGCAACTGGATCATGAATATGGCAAAATATGATGATTATGATAAATCAAAACTTTACCTATGATGTTAATAAAACTCCTGTGATTCGAAATGATAAGGTTGATTGTTCCGGGGTTTATACCAAGAAGTTATTCTAAAAATCAATAGTATTTTTTGTATCGTAGATTTAGTTAGGCACTTATTGCAAGCAACGACTTATTTACTTGTCTCTTCGTCGTGTCTTTTCTGAGTTAATTCAAGAGACTTGATTGACTTTTTCTTTGAGATACTTTGACTGGACAGTAAGTTGATGCAGTGGCTACGCAACTGGCTGCTGTGGTTCTATTCCAGCACGGAACAACACTGTGTGATCCATAAATTGTTGTTTCAGGTCTGGGTGGCTTTTGTATGTGATTTTGTGTTTCTAAATGCACCCACGACGTAACAAAAAAATCTAGTTGGGAGCACCATTTTTTAAATAACAAGAAGAAAAACCAAATAGAGAACAATTCGTTTAAAAAAATACAACAGTAGTCCTAATATGACCATTAAAATAAAAAGTTTTTCTGTTATGTACATTTTGTACATGTCACAAGAACCAGAATTTACAAGTCTATCACAGATACCGCTCCAGTTGGCGGTGGAACGACGACCTCCGAGCAATAACCGACACCCGGAGTTCGTTCAATGAAAGTGAAACGTATGAATGAAGTCGGGCGACACGCTGCGATGTGTGACGTAACATCTGCTCGTCTGAAGGACGCAGACACTACTGAGGACATTTGCGAACATTGAATGAATCTATGGAACACATTCGAAATTGAATTTCGAATGCCATTTAAAATCAGTTGCCTTTTTTCTGTTTGTAATTAATAATCAGTTTAGCTTGGCCAGTATTAACAAGATAAAAGTAATCAAAATTAATACTAGGGCAGATGCCTCACAGAAACCTGCGTGAAACAACCACAGCGTTGTGTTTCGCCGTATGAGTGAGGTTACCGACGGCCTAAACCCTTTAATTATCCTTCCTTCCTTAAATATCTGATCCCTAAAAGGCCGGCAACACACTCGTAACTCCTTTGGTGTTGCGTCCATGGGCGGCGCTGATTGCTAACCATCAGGTAATTCGTCTGCTCGTTTGCCGATCTATTCCATGAACAAAAATGATTTTGCCTAAGGAAACTAACTAGGAAGTGGTGGACTTTATCTTATTTATGTATTACAATTTAATGGTAAATATATCAAAAACATGCCGATTATCTATTTCTGCACAAATAAGTGGAATTAGTTCTTTGTACAGCTTAAAATACTGAGTAAAATTAAGGTGCTATAGCGTAGATAATATGAAAGAACGATAAGGCCAAACTAATAAATGCAAATCAAAGAGAATTACTACGAACTAGCCAACAGAAGCGGAAAATGTATGAGGAAATCTACAACAGATTATTTATAATTAATTCTTAACGTGTGCACCTTGGCACACGGACAATCTAACTAGCGGAACAGATAATTGTGACGTTTGTATATTTTAGCAGCTTGCACAATTCAGAGCAAAGTTACAGAGCAAATAAAATAAGAAACACAAAAAAATAACGATGATAAATTTAAAACAAAAAATGAATTCAATAAATACTTTTTGGTGAGTCCATTTCTAAATTGGTCATCAATGTCGAGATTTTTTAATGGCATTTAGCGAATATTTTGAGCGAAATGTGCCAGTATCTTTTAGTGCAAAAATAAAAAAAGGTTAGGTTAGTTAGGTTAGGTTAGTTTTTTTGTAGGTATTATTAATATTTGTGTGGATTCTCTAACCAAGATCTCACATTAAAACTGTCTAGTTTCTACACACAGACTGTTTTTCTTCTTATCATTGTGTAGTTATCTGTAATAATGTGAGGTCAAAGGCAAGCATAAATTGAAACAATAAAATAATCTTATATTTGATACAATGAAAACATTAAATCTTCAAGCATATAAGTTTCAGTTGTGACTAAATGTCAATTTATACTTTATTGCGTGTTACCGTATTAGTATGTACTTAATATTTATAATGGTATACTAATAACTAAACAAGTTGCCAATTTTCAAGTCACTGTATGGGTTCACATGTGGTGTCCATTGCCTCATCTTGTTCACAGAAAAAAAAAACAACGTGCAAGTCACGATTACTTCGCTAAATAATCTGTGCGTCTATTTGTTTTTTTTTTCGAACACTTGCCATATTATTTATAATCTGTGTTATCTCGGATTCGAATTATAAACCTGTCCGTAACAGATTAATGCGTCACTGTATACAGTTATAAAGTAGCTTATCGCCATATTTTTTATCGTTTTAAAATCATTAGATTGATTAACTAATTATTATCGTTTCATTAACATAAATACACAATTATTACTTTTGGTCAAACTAGGGATATTTTTGTTCGTTAGTTGTCAAAGAAAAGGTTTCAGATATGGTACCTACAGGATAAGATTTGAATTTGGAATTCGTTTGTCTGTTGGTGCTGGTAATGGCAATAAAATATAGGAGGCAGAAACACGTCAATTTTTTTATATGATAAAGTGGTAATTTTTCCTACCGCGGCTTAGCCGAGATCTCTCCTGCTTAGCTGGTGCCTAGTCTACATGACAATTATCTTTATCATTATCACGTCAACAGTAAGACATCCTTTGCTGAGAATTGATATCTCCTAACGACTTCCAGATTGACCAATTATGAAATAGTCATCACAATGGAACAAAGTCCAGCCATTAATTTTAATAAGGTCAATTAAACCTCTTTTTTACCTCAAACAAAACATAGAAAGTGGCAGTCTGTCAGTCAGTTCTCTAGTGAAGCTATTTGCTCGTTTCAATGTGTAGATTCCTATGGAAAAAGACCTCCACGGGTGTGTCGATCGAAGTCTCAAAAAAGCAAGGCGAAAGGTTATTATTGCATTAATGTTTAGTTCGATGGAGGACTGCTTGTTTTGTTGTTACTGCAATCTCCGGGTCAGTTTATTACGTGCTTATCAACGTCTGCACTATTACTGAACTCAAGCAACATCGGGCGCAGTCAGTACTTGGGTGAACCCACCTGGGACCATCCGCCATGTAACGTTGACTTCTAGTCGGGGTTGCGAGAGCTACCGCAATTATTATGAACGAACAGGATGATTTAAAGCACTAAGAGTCTGACAGTCCCTCTTGACTCACACATTTTCTCAAAAAAAAGGTACTGAAGGCAAAACTGCAGGCAGAAATTAGAATTTATTAAAAAGTAACTAATAAATTAAACCATAACTGACTAAAATAGGTGTTAATTACTATAAACTCTAACTTTACTTCGGGGAATAATGACGTGCAATGTTTATTTATCAACTCTTATAAAAAAGGGCTAGTCCGTTTAAAGATAAAATGTATTAATAGCA